CCTCAGGGAGCGGCCGGCCCCGTCAGGGAGTGCGCGGCCGCCTCCCCCTCTTCTGTGCTTTTTTTTCCTATTCAGCGCAGTTCGCTGCGTTTAGAGGGGAAAAAAAAAATCCTTGAAGGCTGCCTGAAAGGTGACGGAGAACTATCAGAGAACAATTCATGAGGAGTGAGGAGTGTTTAGGTGAGGGCTCTGAATGCAAAGTTAAAACGATGTAGAAATCTTAGAATCATAGAACCATAGAATGGTTGGGATTGGAAGGGACCTAAAAGATCATCTATTTCCAACTCCCCTGCCATGGGCAGGGACACCTCCCACTAGATCAGGCTGCCCAGAGCCCCATTCAGCCTGGCCTTAAACACTCCCAGGGATGGGGCTGCCACCCCCTCTAGCTTCTCTGGGCAACCACTGCCAGTGCCTCACCACCCTCACAGTAAATAATTTCTTCAGAATATCTGAATCTACCCTCGTTCATTTTGCAACCATTTCTCCTCATCCTGTCACTACAATCCCTGATCAAGAGTCCCTCCCAGCTTTCCTGTAGCCCCGTTCAGGTACTGAAAGGCCACCCTAAGGTCTCCCCAGAGCCTTCTCTGCTCCAGGCTGAACAGCCCCAACTCACTCAGCCTGTCCTTGTAGGGGAGGTGCTCCAGCCCCCTGACCATCTTTGTGGCCCTCCTCTGAACCCTCTCCAACAGTCCAGATTGTTAAAGTGTTTGCAGCTGTACGAGATAGGACATAGAGAAGACTTCTCTCCTCACTAGTGCCCTAAGTAAAACATAGGTAAGAAAAACCTGTCACATGTATTTTGGAATTATGCAGAAGTATATTCTTCTACCATTGCTCATACTACCTTTCCTTTATAGAAAAAAGTCAAATTTTATCTCATAGATTATAATCCTTCTGTACACAGGGTAGTGCTGGCTCGCCTCGAGGCCCTCATCAACCAAGTCCTTCTCTGCTGGGCTACTTCTCTGCCTTCTCCGCTTGTCCCCCAGCCTGTCTTTGTGGTTGGAATTGCCCTGACCCAGGTGAAGGGCTTTGCACTTGGCCTTGTTGAACTTCGTAAGGTTCTTACAGACCCAACATCTCAAGCCTCTCCAGGTCCTTCTGGATGACATCCCTTCCCTCAGCAAGTCAACTACACTACACAGCTTTTTGTCATCAGCAAACTTGCTGAGAGCGCACTTGATCCCGCTGTCCATGTTGCTCACAAAATCAATATAAGGTGATCAAAACAGGAATAGAGATAAACAAAAGAGAAAAAGATGCTTTGCTTTGGTTGCTGGAAAATCTGTCTTGCAATAAGAGCTTAAAATGCTGCTGTTTTGTTCAACCACGTTTGTTTGTTTTCATAGGTTACTACTGCTCTTTGAGTTAAACTCCTCCAGGCAAAATGTCCCCAGGAAGGAGGGGCAGTTGCCGTGGCAACATTGTGTAAACTCAACAGCCTCATGTAGCAGGAGCTGCCTGGAGGATTTGCCTGCAGAAGAGCCTGCCTCAGCAATAAGAGCTATGTACGAAAAAACATACAGAAAATAAAATAAAACTATATGGAATTACTGTTTTAATTCCTTGTTGTTCAGTTAAGGAAGACAGCTGTGAGCTAAAAACGCTCTAACTTCTCTTCGGGTTGCTGCGCCTCTTGCACACTTCACTGCTGAAGCACCAGGTAAGATGTGGTTTATGCCTTTTTTATAGAACCTTTCAGGGGTTTTTTGTGTGTCCAAAAAAAACCAGCCCAAGTTTGGAGAGGTTCACCGTCTAATATGACTCTTAACAGACTAATGTAATGGGATAAGCATTTCAATGGATGCTCTGGTATTTAGCATAAGCATGAGAAATCAAGAATGCCAACTTCTATAGCAACTTTTGGCCAGTTCGTTGGATGACCTTGGTCAGCAGCTCTAGGTCATTCAAAGGTAGCTGTAGGACATGCAGTTTTTCACTGTTTCTTCTTCTGTAAACTAAGAAAGACAGTACTGTCCGATGTCTGGCTGTTCCATAGTTATAAAAAAATGCACATTCCTCAGGTAAAAAGCATGTTATAAAATTGTGATAAAAATTAATTTCATCTAGGATAAATGCATGAGTCTCTTGGGAAGGCTGGTCCATGCTTCCAAGTATATTATACTTTTGTTAATGGCATCACAAAATCACACAGTAACAGTAACAAAAGCCCATTTTTTTTCCTGACTAGCAGAATTGAGTGGCAAAATGCTACTTAATCCAACAAAAGCCACACAAGCCCATCATTTGCACTGTCCTCTGTAGTGACTTTGAAATGGAATGATTCTTTATGGACGTGCAGCTATAATGGTTGTTACTTTCCATCTGTTGCATACATCTTGCCATTGGTAGTACTTTGGCATTACATGGTTGTTCCATACACATTAGTAGTACTACAGTGGACACTGAGTTCAGCTGCAAAGGAAAAAAAGGATATATTTTTAAATAAATTAAGAATAGGCACCTATGACAGAACTAAAGGGAAAAATAAAAGATTTCTAGGGGTAGTACCCAAAATTGTTGTTAGGCATAACTGTAATAAAATCTATAATGAATGTTGAAAACATTATGTGCTACTAGATGTAGAAGATGTAAAAAATCGAGTATTTTATTGAGTTGAGTGGTGTAAGGACAAGCAGTGAAGTAAAAATGTGTGTGAGGAAAAGAGCAAAGAGAAAATAAAATTTTGGAAAGAAATTGGCAACATAAGAGCCACTAGGTGCCCTAGTTTTCATAGTTATCCCTGTCTATGGATATAAAAAACATCAATGTACTTTTCTAAAAAATGTATCTTTCTTTGAGGCAATCATACAATTAAGTTCTAAATCAGCTTAATTTCATAGCACGTATATAGTGGTTATGCAATATTTTTAATCTTATCAGTGTTTTTCAACAACTATGAGGGGTTTTTTACCAAAAAGATACTATTTTCTTCATAAACACCTTTTAGATCAGCTACCATTATAAATACAGATACAGTAGACAAAAAGTTTTAAATTAACAGTACAATTAATTCAAAATACATACTGTGTGTTATTTCTGGAAACAATCTCAACAATAAATATTCACCAAGGCACTAATATATTGAAAAACTTTACACTTTTAGATAATGAACATATTTTCTTTCTATGTTAAAAAGGATTTATAGGCTTAAGATAGCTTTGTAAGATGATGCAAGCATCCGTGCCAGATGTGAGAAAAGAATCTACGCACTCTGCCTCAGGGGTGTGTGCTTTGAGATCCCAACTGCTGTGAGGTCTCAGTCCCACTAAAGCCAGTAACGAGGCTGCTGGATGTCAGAGTTTCCACAAGCAAGTTCTTTTCTGCAAGAACTGTAGTACTGAATTCCACTGCAGCTAAAGTATACAGTGCAACTTTGTACACTTTATATTAGCATTAATATTAATATCAGTTTTGCTGTTTCATGAAATTCCTTTTCATTTCAACCCATGGGTCCCCTCTCCTTTTCCTGATCCCCCTTCTCTGCTGAGGAGGGGTCACTGTGTGATAGAGCAACTGCTGTAGTTTATCCCCGGATAAGGGCTAAATGTAGAAAGTCTGGAATGATTCACGGTTGGAAAATTCATCTGTAAAGAAATCAAAGCTCTTTTGAGCCTCTCATATAGGTATAGAGAGCTCATATACGCTCATGGAAGGCCAACAGTTGGTGGTGCCAAATGTATATGGATAGCTCTGATAGATGGTACATGGATAGCTCTGTTAATTTCCTCGAGCTACTGTTATGTTTTTCAACAACCAGGAATTAAAAAAGTTTGTAATACTAATTTAGTGTAAGCTTTAAGTTGTTTTGGTTTTATAAGCGTAGTGCAATTTGAATAATACATTTTTCTAAACATGCAGAGGTACTAAGGTGCTCACAGAAAAGTACAGTCATAGTTAAGATACTGTTTCTGACAATGCAAAACAAAAGTTTACTGCTAAGAAGTTAACAGGATAGCTCTGTCTCAGCTAGTGAATCTTGTTTTTATCAAATTCAGTCAGATGCCTGGCATGGGTCACAGAAATTCAATGGCAACCAAAAAAGGCAATAATATAGTGTCTGTTATTTTTTTAATGTGCACAGTTTTTAAATACCTAAAAAATTTACCTTTGTAAACATTCAGAGATAATTCATTGCCATTCATGTATTTACGAACTTATAATAGGTCTGAGATAAAGCATGAAATTTATTCTTTTTTGGTGCCAGTGAGACTTTTGTTAATGTTTTCAATCAAATCAGTCTGGCTGCACGGGCTCTGTAGAAAAAACACCCATCTAAGTTTGAATAGATGCTTAAAACTGGACTGTATTGTGGGATAATTACCTCTTAAGATACTTCAAAAAATATTTACAAAGTAAATTCTATACTTCTCTGAAATTTATAGAAAGATTCCATCTGACTTCATGTTTCTTTGGAATTAGTTATCAAAGAGATCTGTTGAAGCTGCAATGTAAAAGCTACTCTGTGCTCAGAAGGTTTTGGACGTTGAACCTCTTTTGCTGAGAGATAGTTTTGACCAAGTAGAGAAAGGTGTACATTTAATTCAGGTTTGATTCCTCAGTAATATGCTAAAAAATGCAATTATCTCCCAAATGTGAAGTGTCGACCTTACTGGTCTGACAGTAAAGATGAAAATAATGCTGACAGCTTTCATGTCTTATTCAACATAGTAAACATTGAGGTTTTGGCAATAAAAACTGTGTCTGGATTGTTTAGTTCTATGTATTCACAGTACTGGGCATTGGATGTTAAATTAGTAATAATTTCATTGGATGTTAACATTTTTAATAATTTCAAGTACTTTTAAAATGTTAGTTTTGTCTCATGGCTCTGAAATAATCAAGTTTAGAATACTGCTTTGTAGATGTGAATTGAAAATCAATTAACAGAGCATTTTTTTCAGGTTTCCGGACCTTAATACATTTAACGACAGTATGTCTGACAACCAACAAAATAAGAGGAGAAGCAAAGAAGGTAGTCTAACCAAAGTTTATACGTATAAAGTGTAGCACGTGGGATCTGAAGAAGAAAAAGGACAATGTTAACTTGAAATTTGGCTACTTATCAAAGCAAAACAACCAGATAAAATTTGAAGTCAAACTTGGAGTTATTTTTTACCTTTCAAAAATGCTGAGATTTGTTTTGGTTTAAATTGGTTTCCTATTTCCTTTTGTAGAGTTTCTGTCAATATTTATCTGTATTTCTATTTACTGAAATAGAAGATGTAACTGGATTTTTTTTTTGAAGTTCTTTGCTTTTATAGTACATTGAATTAATACACTTACCTAAATAACTAAAAAAAATTTGGATTTATGCATTCACATTTCCAAAAATTATAATAGGAAGTATGTATAGGTCATACATATTTCAGTCCAATGAAATATGTTCTTTTTTTCTGATAGTTACTTCCAGTATTTCTTTATAATAATATTTTAATGTCCAAAAATAACTCCATTTGCACTGTGTTACTGGCCAGTGAATTATGTTGCTCTTATGCAAATACTAACATATTGTTGCAGGCTGTGGAAGTGTTGCTGCTCTTCAGAATGCAGATAATATTATGAAAGAAATGCACCAGTCATACAAAGCTCTAGGAAACAACAGGTGAGTAGTGTTAATATTTAATTTGCACTTGCAAAAATGGAGGCAAAGCTGGTAGAGGTCTATGAGCAGGAAAAGATTTGCTTAGTGCCAGATGTTCTAAACAGCTATATATGTTGAGTAGTGGTTCTGTCTTCCCATGGTCGATTGTTGGCTGTTGCTGGAGGCAGGATATTGCACTAGATGAACAAATTATGCAGTACAACATGAAAAAATATGAAAAAAATGTATATGGTTTTATGTCTTCATTTGTCTTATTAAAAGCAAACTATTATCTTGCATATACCTTTAAGATTAACCTAGACTACATTTTTGTAACTCTTTTCAGACACAGTATTTATATTTGGATTTTTCATCCTTCAGAAACCAGGTGACAGAATCTGAGGCTTGTCTGCACAGCCTCTCTTCTTTCAGGCAGGCCATTGCATATTTTATAAATAACAAAGGCACATCTGGTCTTCAGAATTCTTCTGACAGCCTCTCCTGATGAATCATAGAAAATACATACTGGAAGCGATCAGTTTTTGCCAAGAAGGAGAGGGTGGACAATATGTTTCTCCGTTCCCATTTTCTTGTTTTATATTGTTTTTACTCATTCTCAGTTGTAGTCAGCCTCTGGCATCGCAATCGGATGCTTCCAGGGAAAGCCATGACTTCCCAGATAGACAAAGAAAGAAAATATTATTTGACATTCTTACAGACTTCTTGGTTTTCTCCAGTCATGTGATTATTTGAACTGTGTAGGCTCTTTCCACTTGTTTTCACACTGTATTTAGTTATTTGGGTTTTTTGCCTTTTAGTCAAATAGCACCACCATCCAGACCATGGCCAGATCAACAGGTGGCACATTTTTCCAGGAAAAATCAGTTAGCATTACAGATGAGACATCACACTTACTTACCTTTCTTCCCGAAGAAAAAGAATGAAGGCCATGGCTTTGACTTCAGCTTTCTGCTACAGGCCTCCTGCCCGGAAGCTAACATTTCAAAATCGTTTGTGGATTTAGATGCTTTTCAGATAATGAAAGCACAAATACAACAAAGTAAGTTCAGTTTTAAAAGTAACAGCTTTAAATAAAGTTATATGTTGCTTATCAGATTAGATGGCAAGGCATTAGAAGTCCTTTTTCTTTAAACTTTAAGTTGTCTTTATGTCCGCTTGACTTCATGTAAAGTAGACTTCAGCTCTGTTGGTCCTCTTCTTTTAGGGGTGTGTATTTGCAGAATAAAGGAGACAGAGAAGCAACAACAGATTTCACTTTTCCTATTATTCTGCGTACTGAAACTGAGCCCACAAATATAAAGTGTAATTCTGTGTAGCTGGAGTGGGGCCATGATGGCACCTCTTTCAGTTTTTTCCTCATACTGGCAATATTAATTAGCCACATCAAAGTTAGCAAGCATCTGAAATTGAGTAGAAATATTTGCTTAAAAAAGAATGGAATTGTGAAGTTCAGTGTCGTAATTAAATTTCAGCTTACAATTTTTTTTCTGCATAGCAGATTTATAGCATAATCCTGCAGCCACACATCAGACTGAGTCTTAGTCCTCCAATTCCTGTAGCTTGAAGTTAATTTACAAATGAAAATTATAGTATAAGAACATCAAATTAACATTTAATTTGTTTTGATTTTTAAGGGTTAAATGTAACAATGCTAAAAACCAGGAGCAAGAGATCTGAGGTAAGATGGTATTATGTGCAAAACTGAACACTGTTAAAAGTGTTATATGCTTTCAAAACCTTAAAAATACAAACATAGAAGAAGTATAGGTAGTTTTCTCTGCTTAGTCTTCATTTTTTTGATGAATAGGAGGTATTTTTACATATACTTTATATAAAATCTTATAGCAAATCTTCAGATGTATATCAGCAATTTGTCAGTAAGGTATTACATCAGGGATTTTTGGAGGTAAAGGAGTAGAAGTTCATAAAGAAATAAAACCTTTTAAAATAGAAATATTTAAGTTAAAGCACACGCAGCCTATACCTTAAACAGGTTAGATGTCTAGTTTTGCCAAATATAAAAAACAATATATATTTTTTGTATTGAGTGGTAATTTACAGTTGAAGCTGAATTGAAGAACAGTCTTGAAAATAGATGATTGCTGAAATTTATTATGTTAGCACATAAAAAATGTCTTAGGATTAAACAAACCTGACATGAAGTTTTGTGATAGGTGTAAATAAGATTCCTGGCAAAACTTCTATACTTTCAAACAAACTAGCGATTTTACATTTATCAGTGCTTCACACCACATGAACCTTAAAAATTACAAAACTGTATTTAGAAAAAAGAGAACTGGATCTTTATGGATATTGATTAATAGCCCTTTGTACAAACGAACCGACTCGTTGAATCAGCTGTATATGTTAGTGAATGCACTACAGAGTGTAAGAGCATTCTCAGGAAAAAGAGTGGGGGGAAAAAAGTATAAAAGTAATAGCAGGAGCTCTAACAGAAGATCGTAAAAACAGATATGGGAAAAAAAATTCAAAAGGAGGGAAATGTTTAAGAAAAATAATTTACCTGACCTCAATGTGATTTAATACAGCTTTATTTCCTGTCTTAGCCTCTGATGATTTCTAGAGACACGTCATTTGGGATAAACTGAGCATTCATATTAATGCTGTGCAGACTAGACAAAGCCTTCAGAACTGTAAATTTCAAACCAGCACACATTGCTTTTCCTGGCACATTCAAACCTCAGTTTGCCCTTGGAATGCAAACAAAAATTTCCTGCAGATTGCAAACCGATGTTGAACGTAGACATGCAAATGAGCACTTGGAGCATATGACTGTGTGATTATTTCTGTTTCATTCATTTGCATAAAAATATACAGTATATTCAAGCTTATTTTTTTTCCCATTTCCTATAAAAGAAAGAGCAGAAATATGATTTTCAGAAAATTATTCTCACTGTTCATCTGAATAATCACAACGAAGTACTCAAATTCTCAGAACTGTACTCTTCCAAAGATGTGTGGTACCTTTCAATTCATGGGGCAGGAAGGGAAGGAGGAAGGGAGGGAGTCCCCCATGAGGACCAGGGCTTGTGATTGTGAGGCTGCTCCTGGCCTCACCCACTCTTGACTTCCTGGTCACGGGGCCTGTCCCGGCCCCCCCATGATAACGTCACCTTTCCCTGCCCTCCCTTTAGTCCCGACCCATAAGCTCTCAGTTGGGTCCTTGTTCATATTAGGTAAGAGTATGCAAATGTATAAAAGAATAATCCTTTTCTGTTGTGGCTTTTTTTTTCTTAGTCTACTTTGCTCTTAGTGATTAGATTTTACCTATATCTGTTGCACAGCACGTTATTAATGGTTTTTATGGAAATTACAGTTTCATTTGCCACCGGTGACATTTCATCCTGTAAGAACAATTCATCTTGCTCCTCTAGAGGATAATATTGTCAATGAAAGCAGCAACATCGGAAACACTTTGAATATTATGAACTCTCTTCCTCAGCCTATAAAACCAGTTACTAAATTTTATCAGTATCAGATAGACAATCTGTTAAAAATGAATGCTGAAAAGTCATCAGACCTGATTGTGGCTACGATTTCTAAGTTCACTCCAGTGAAAGACCTGTACTACCTCAGCATGAGTAACTACTATAAGTACCTTAGCAACAAGAAAGAAGAAATTCAAGGCAATTTAAAATGGAGGGAAGCTGATTTAGCTACTGATACTGAAAAGAATGCCCAGGTGAAGTACCAGTTTTCAGTGAGTTGTAAGAATGTAGATCTGATGACCCAAGCCAGTTTGTATGATGATAGTCATCCCTCCTTGAGCTCAAGTAATGATCTGATAAACTGCAGGATATTTACAGCTCAGACAGCATGTACAATGGATTTGAGAGTGGGCAATGAGGGAAGAAGAGCAGAGAATTCCTGTAGAACTGGTCTAGAAGAAGGAAATGCTGCAGAGATGATACAGGATTATAGACCACATGAAGATGCTGAGAGGGCAAATTTTGTACTTGACAATTATGATCTAGATTCTCTGTGTAAAAAGGAAGTGATAGGGGCCTACTATGCCTTAGAAGATAATTCTGTAGATGCGGTAACCCCCAGAGTAGAAGTGCAAGATCCTTCTGGAAAACAGACAGAAAGTAATGTTTATCTCTCTGAATGTGAAATGGAAAGAGAAGCAATGTCAGAAGCATCTTCAAAACACCAAAGTGAGCTTGTACCTGTTGTTCATGTTACATTCTCTGAACAAGAACCAGCTAGGGAACCATGCATTGCTAAAGAGCCTGCCGTGAAAAAGAGTGTCATTCATAGCGTGCCTCCTCATGTTACTCAGAGCTTCAAGACTCTTGCTTGCAAAGAAAATGACAAAAGTAAAGTAAAGATGAATAGAAATAAATATGCATCAAAATCCAAAATGAGTAGCAAGATAAAGGTGTCTGAAGGCTCAGTTGTTTCTGATGAGCTTTCCACAAAATGTAATACCAAGAGTCAGATTTTTCCATCTTTGGAACTACCACACGTGGAATATCACACTTCCCTGAAGCGTCAAAAAAAACCCCCTCGAGCAGACAAAGACCATTTTGCTCAGAGTGCTCAGAAACTTAAAAAGCAAAGTTCCTCCTGCACTTGCAAAAATTCAGTTATCTCAAAGAAACCTGTTACTCCACCCTCTCTCCCACATACACAGTCTTCTTCAGATTTTGTAGATCTGAAATACAGTGACATGTTTGAGAAAATAAATCCAAATGATGGAGGCCCAGGTATTTATGAAATGTTTGGAACTCCTGTCTATTCCCACATGCGTGAGCTTGATCAACGTGAGAACAGATTTTATAGAGATACTTGTTCTGCTCCATCTGGGAGATGCACTGCTGGCACCTGCAGATCTACCTGCACTAAAGTGAGACAGAGCAGCCGAGTAAGAAATACTCAGAAGAGAATATACTCTAAGCCAAAGAAGACCATACCTAACGGTAAACAAAAGCAGAAAGGCTTCATTACAAAGGACAGAAGTGCAGAGTTGAGTGACAGCAACACGGAGCAAGATAATGTAATCACTTCTGATTCAGGTTTTCAAATAAGCACTTCAAGGAGCATGACATTGTTCCATGAAGACACAGATCATCAGCTTACATTTTTAGAAGAGCTTTCAAAAACAAGTGAGAAGAATGAATTTTCTTCAAGTTCAAACTTACCAGCAATTAAAGAAATGTCTTTGGAGCAGTCTTTCGACAGTCAGGATATATCCAGCCATCAGAGAGCTGCTAGCTGTAGCCAGAATCTTCAGTCTGGTGATAAAGAGCACAGAGAATGCGTTGCACTAAGTAACCGTCTGCTAACAACAGACCAGGACATTTGTGTGCCCTGGTGCAGGGTGGATATGGATGGCTGCAAAGGCCTGGAATCTGACCAGGCCTCCTTCAAGTCCATAGATGAATGTGAAGCATTGCACTTTCCAGATAGACTGGAGTGTCAGAACAGTGTTTTGGCAAATGAATTGACTCAGCCTTCTGTGACTCAGCCAAAAAACGTTAAAAGTGTCAGTTTCCAGATGAGTCAAAGCATTTCGTCCTGGGCAGATGATAAGGATGTGACTGATGAGTTGCTTTGTTGTCTGGCCGAAGAATTGCTGGTGCTTGAAGAAAAAGACATCAGCTCTTCAAGAACAAAACATACAGGTTCTAAAATGCAAAATATGTATACTAAAGAGGAGGAAAATATAATGAATGGAGATGGAACAATAGTAAAGAGTGCTCTAGAGAAGGTAAAAGTAATTTCTTGTAACTTCCTAGCATCTTTGAGTGATGCTTCAACACTTGGATGAGAGATGTGTGTTTAGTAATGATCAAATCTCTTTTCCTTGGGCCAGCTGCCTGCTGACTCTTCCAGGGCTCAGCTGAGGACACCCATGTGAGAGGGTGCATGTCAGGGCACAAGCTAGATGGGCCTAAGACATGACAGGAATAGCCCTCAGATCTGACATGATGGATCAATATAAATGGAGACCTCATAGTGTGTAGAAAAGAGAGGCTATTTTGACTGAAGAGCATGTATGAAAAGGTGCTAGAGCAAGGAAAAAGGTCTTGAGATCTTGACACCTAAAGCATGTGAGCAATCACTTCAAACGGTTCTTGCATATCCAAAAGGCCAATTTCCTTGAATCTCTTGAGTGCAGCCAGATACTTTTCCAGATGTGAATTACAAGTATTGGCTTATCAGACAGACTTAAGACTGTTTAATAAGTGTTTAATCAAAACTTCAAGCTCAGAAGGCTTAGATTGTGGCCCCCAAGTCAGTTAAGAACCTTCACCACTAAGGTGCTTATCTACCTTCTCCTTGGTCCTGTTTGCTTTTTGTCTATTTAAATTACAAATTTCTCTCACTGCATATTGATACACTTCCTTATGCTCTTGCAGACACAGGTGCCAATTCTACCTCCATTCTCACTTCTCCTAGAGAGAGTTATAGCTAGATGGAATAATTAGTACCATATTTCTGAAGCAGTCTCTTCTTGTGAACTGATGTCCAGATTGTTTTCATCAGACTGGGGTTATATTATATTCACTCTTCAGTTTAGCAGACTGTACCTACATGACTGAAAAAAGGAGTGGTAAGCAGATGTATATCCTGCTTTTTCAAGTGTTCCTTCTGTCTGTCTTCCTGTCAATGGAAAAAGATGCCATGCCGTAATCTTGTGGTTATGCACTATCATGATATATACTTGAAAATATTTACACAGTCAGTATAGAATTTGTATCGATGAGCTGAGCAACAATATATATATATTTATATATATATTTGAAAATCTGTATTTGAAAATATATACCGGATAAAAATTACTCCTTATAAAAAAATGTAAGGATAATGTGAAACCTTTCTTTTCCTCCCTGCTTTCTCCCCGCACTGATGCATCATCTTTCAAGCAGAGAGACAGTAAAGCCTTTTTGGCATCAAATGAAGAAAGTGACCTGCTAAACTCTGAGGAATCCACTCAGTTACCGGGAAGCAGTTTAACTAACAAAGATCCTATCTTGTGGACAAGAGGTGAAGTCCTTGGAAAGGGAGCCTACGGTACGGTAAGTTCATGTCTGACTCTGTTAAGAGATGCGCTGGCTGTTTTTGAGCTATGTCGTACCTTGTGACTGGCTGTTGTCCTATTCAGATAAATATTTTGGATTCTACAATGAGACATGAAACATAACAAACACAAAGACACTATTTGAGATGAGTAAATAGTTTTATTTCATGTTTCATCTTAATAACTGCTAATTTCTTTGTAGGTATACTGTGGCCTGACAAGTCAGGGACAATTAATAGCTGTAAAACAGGTTGTTTTGGATACGTCAGATCGACTCACTACAGAAAAGGAATACCAGAAGTTTCATGAGGAAGTCGATCTTTTGAAGACGTTGAAGCACGTCAATATTGTAACTTACTTAGGAACTTGTCTGGAAGACAACATTTTAAGCATTTTCATGGAGTTTGTTCCTGGCGGCTCAATTTCTAGTATTATTAGTCGTTTTGGTCCATTGCCAGAAATCGTCATTTGTAAATATACAAGGCAAATTCTGCAAGGGGTGGCATATTTACATGACAACTGTGTGGTGCACAGAGATATCAAAGGCAATAACGTTATGCTCATGCCAAACGGGATAGTGAAGCTCATTGACTTTGGCTGTGCCAGGCGTTTAGCTTGGGCAAGCCTCAGCGGCACGCGGAGCGAGATGCTCAGGTCTGTGCATGGCACTCCCTACTGGATGGCGCCAGAAGTTATAAACGAATCAGGATATGGGAGGAAATCAGACATCTGGAGCGTTGGCTGCACCGTGTTTGAGATGGCAACAGGAAAGCCACCGCTGGCTTCCATGGACAGGATCGCTGCCATGTTCTATATTGGGGCCCACAGAGGGCTGATGCCTTCCCTACCTGACCGGTTCTCCAGCACCGCGGCAGATTTTGTGCATGCGTGCTTAACCAGGTATGTAGATTTTTAACTGAAAAATTAAAGGAAAACTGCAGGTAGTTTGTATTGTAGAGACTGCTGATGGGAGCTTAGGTTACCTCTTACATGGTAATATGACTGTACTGTAAACGCACAGATTTTTCAACATTTCAGGAAAGCCTTTAAATAATAGTATATATAAATGAGCTTTATTCTCTCTAACAAAAACCCAAACAAACCCTCACAAATTCTTTTTTAGGTCTTATACTCATAATTTACTTTCTCTGTAATTTTCATGCACAAACATGTCACCACTGAGTTTTAGACAAAATGTTTGCTAAGTTGGTTGGGTTTTTTTAGGCCTTACTGTTCCAATAGCTGAGTATGGCCCATATCAGGCAAGTTGTTTTGAGGATGATATTCTAAATGAAAGAGCTTTCATTTAATTGTTATCTTCTGCAATAGAAAAAAAATCTATTATCACTGCCAGGCCGGGAAATACATACTTACTTGAAATGTAAAATTCTCTATACAGAAAACTCAAAACATTAGCATTCACCCATTATAAGAATTATTTTTGCGTTTGTTTTAAATATCAACTTTGTCCCAGGTGTTTAAATGAACTACCAGTTTCAAGAGCCAAGTTCCTAACCTCTACACGTAGTCTTTGTAGAATTAATAGTAGCCTCTGACATACCTTTAAGGACCAGATTTGAGCACTAGAGAGAAGCATGTTATTTAGTGGGTATGGCAGCGGTCCTGGAGGCAGGAAAACCTGATTTTTAATCCCTGGGTTAGATTTGTTATGGTATGGTTACAGTTTCTGTAAAAAAAAATTGTGGACTGTATACAGTTACATCATATATATTTTGACTCAGTGAATGGTGTTTAAAAGGTAGAAGGTATTGTTAGGCCGAAGGAAACATACAGATATAAAGCATTTACCTTTTCAAATAAGTACTTAACTTTTCAAAACTCAGGATGGACCTGATGGCAAAGTTATAATGTGTGATTTCATCACGGCCTAAATATAAAGGCCTCCTTTATCCCATCTTCCTCATTAGTTTATTATTTAAGAAATCAGTATCCTTTAATAATTCCCCTGTTTTTTTCTGCAAATTGAGGGTTGTAAAAGCCCAAAGCCCTTGGCTCTAGCAAGCCAATACTGTAGTTAGAATCCTTATCTCTATATGGGCTCCCTAACGTGCATGGCATTGACTGGAGATGACAACAGCCTGACTGACGCAGGATCAAACAAAGAGTTGTCACCCTCCTTAAATAAAGTTTTGGGTTACCTGAAACAGCCGCATTAGCAGACTTAGTCAAAGTTTTGCAAGGAATTTAGAGGAACAAAGAATTATTTCTGTAATAATAAAGTATTTCAGTGTTATAATTCAGAAATTCCAAGTCTTCTCCCATAAATCCTCCTTGCTTTTCTACCAGCTTTACAAAAAAAATCCCCAACAACTAACAGTGAGTAATGACTGGAAGAATGAGGAAAAAAAAAGGCTAAGTTTGCAAACAATTTTAGAATTTTACAATTACATCACAGGTTTCCATATTCATTTTATGTACTGATTTTTCAAACCCTTAATGCAGAGATCAACATCAACGCCCTTCTGCTCTGCAGTTGCTGGATCATCCCTTTGTGAAAGGAAGCCAGTGAATTTTTCAAAATTCTTGCCAAATAAGTATACCTTTTCCACATAAAGAATAACCACTTTTGAAGAAAGATCAGAAGGACCCGGACTTAACAGTGACAGCAGAAGTTACTGGAGAGCAAGTGTGTACAAGGAGCCTATTGCTAGCCAGCTGTTTGATTAAAGTAACAGTTTTTGCAAGGTCTGTGCTCACTGGAGTGGGCCGTCCTTCGCGGTGAATGCAGGGCCACGTTTTGTTGTATTTGGGGAGACTTTAAGCGGAAAAAACCCACACCTGACCATCACCAGTATGTGAGAGGCAAGGTAAGCTGGAATGCTGATTTGTCTGTAAAAACCCATGGCGCGTGTGTCACTGGCAGAAAACACTGCAGCAACTGCAAGCGCTGTGAGAGCTCTGCAGGAAACTCAAACTTGTAGTGGAGTTATTAAATGTGCCTGTGATGATCCCGTAGGAACCCCAACCCACGTAACCATACCTGCATGAAATGTGCAGAAGTTTTTCTTTAGTTAGATGGGCCCTTTAATTTTTAGCTTGTGAAAAAAAAAAACAAACCACCTAATTTTTACATATGAGTCCTTTGTTAGTGAGGTACGATATTACTACAAGATTGTGATAATGACAAGAGATACCCAGGTGCACACGTGCATCTTTATTAAGCTTACGTCAAGATCATTTCCCAGTCTGGCTAGAATTATGAATCTAAGATTTGTGAATGCCTTTCCTCACAGAAGCAGTGCGTTTTCTGGACAGTTGCGGGTTACAGAATGGTTGAGGTTGGAAGAGGCCTCTAGAGATGCTGTAGTGTGATCCCACTCTTCAGAGCGGGGTTGGCTGAAGCCCTTGTCTCATCAACTGTTATCACCAAGGATGGTGACTTCACAGCCTCTCTCAGGAATGTGTTGCAGCCTTCAACCACCCTCAGAGTAAAAATGTTTTTATGTTGGAACAGACTGTCCTGTACGTCGAGCTGTGCCCATTGCCTCTTGCCACTGGGAACACTGAAGGGTCTGGTGTTGTCTTCCTCACTGCCCCTACTGGGTATTAAATCACCTCGATAAAACTGCCCCTGAACCTCCTCTGTCATCACCGAGTGGTGGTTTTGGCATTCAGAGCGGTGTGTTGCAATTCTCACCCCACCGTTTGCTGATCCAGGGCAGCAGAAGCACAGGAGCGTTACCTTTCTCATTTGCAAAGGCTGTAAAGTGCTGTTTCAGTCATCAGACAGTCCACTGCTGTTTTTCAATATCCTTAATCTGAATTAGAACAGCAAATTTGATTCTGACACTGAAACTTTTGAAAAACACGAGTGAGCACTATGTAATTAGATGACAAGTAACAGCTTCCATCTGTGCTGTAAAAATAAGTTTTTATGGTTAGTATAACGCTACTACTAACCACACAAAATAACACTTGAGAACATTACATTAATAGACAAAAAAAAATAAAATCAGGTATTAGTATTTAGATTGACCTCTTTCTTATAAGTCTTCTTCCTGAGTCTTTTCAAAATTTCAGGAGAATGAGACACTGTAGAAATTGAAAATTTGTTTTGCCGTATCAAACGCAGTGATCCTTGTGCCTTTGTGAGCATCTAGGCTCCAGGAAGAGCTGCAGTAAAACTCAGCCCTACTACTGCTGAGCTCTCAAGAGTTCAAGACCCTGATTTTAGTGCCAGCAGTGACATGAAAATTAGTGTTTTACCAGAAGGAAAGAAGGAAGTTCTAAATTTTATGCAAAATCAACTTTCCCCAGAGAGCTAAACATTTTAGTTAAATAACTTTCAAACTTTATTTTATACCAGTACCCTGACTTCAGAGAGTTGGTCTGAACTTTACAGAAGCAAAGCGAAATCAGTACTTCTAGCAAAATCCTTTATTAATAGTTTCTGTACGTATAATGCCACATAACAATGACAGAACATTATGCCGGTATAAGAGAAATCCTAACATCACAGTCATGTTCAAAGTTAACAGTCCCAGTTGGTGCTCATGCCAAAAATCCATAGCAACTTCATGCTCAGGTTATCTTCCTGTTAAATTAACTTGCAGAGTAAAGGTGGGAGCCCTGGCATGTGAACTCAAGGGGGGGGTACATGATTCCATAATATATATTAATTCTTCTCTGATTAAGGTAGTATCTCCAACAAAGCTGCAAAGTAAATATGAGTTTTGATTTAGCATGAAATGGAACTGAGATGAGACTCATAAGCAGGGAAAGAACGGGAACGCACTAGGATATACAGTTCATTAAAAAATGCCAGAATTACACCACCCTCCTCCTCCCCTTATGCATGTGTTTTATAAGCAAAAATAACATTGTTAAAATCTGAGTTCTCCAACATTAAGCTAACTAGTTATTTTCAGTTTAAATCTAACGTTTAATCCAGCTAATTACACTAAGATTAGTCTCCAACTTAAAAGGCTCGTAAAACTTTAACCTGAGTTTTAAATGTGAAAGACCATTTTTGCTCGGTGCCGCAACACCAAGACGGGTGGGTTTAGGGTGCCTTGGGTTGCTCAGCCAAGTCCAGTCCAGTAGAGCTTTCTATAAACAAGTCTAAGGTTGCGTATTTCTTACTTGATGAGCTCATGGATTTCCATGTCGAAATGCAGATACCTGTAATAAGGTATCTAATGTGATAAGGGGAAAGGGTGAGAAACTTTAAAAACCTTCTTGAAAACCTTTATTTTCAATGAAAAATGACCCAGTGAGGCAGGTCACAATTATTTATAGTATGTGAGCAGGGTAATCCTTACTGTTTAAAAGAGTATAGTCTTCTAACAACAGGGAAGAACCTGCCACAGAGTAGTAGATACGATGCCAAGTTTCCTCAAAATTTGGAGCTTAAATTTGTCACCTTTTGTCACCGTAGAGGATACCTAGTATTATTTAAAGCTCTGAGCCAATGCTCAAGGCTCAGAAAAAGGTGTGGCTGTTTTACACTGCCTTGGCACTACAGCCAGCAATACAACATGAAAATCTGCATCGCAAGATACACATCAGCCTTTCTGCTCAATGAAGCAGACATTGAGCCCAGAAAACCCACAGCCTTTTAAAATTATTCGGGTTCAAAATTAAGTGTTTTTCCACAAAGTTCAGAAAAGCAGGAACTGATGCGACTTTCAACAACTCCTCTTGTAAAACTCTGGTTCTTGCATGCAAGTAAAAGAGAACAGGAGTTCTGAGGAAGGGCTTCCAGTGAGCAGAGTGCCTTCTCTCCCCTACTTGCCACTTCCCACAGGGACCCTCACCAGGAGACAGCTTCAGAAAGTGAATGGTACAGGTGTCAAAGAACGTAATCTCTGAACTAGGGTAAGAAGTGCAGGAATGTAGAGGAATCAAACCCAACTACTGAAACTTCTAAGGTTAAAAATTCAGTCTGGGTTTGCTATATCCACCTCAGAAGCCAGAGAAACTGCCATTCCCAGCAGCAAAACGAGAGAACACACCTGGAAGCAATTATGTATTTTTAAAGGTGTAAGGATTCGAGTATTTCAGAAAAAAATGAGAAATGAATTAGCTAGTTAAGATTGGCATAACTTCCAAGTCTTTTAAAAGATGTATTTTCTAGAATTGATCATGGAAATGTGTATTTACATTCCAGTTAAAGAAAGCAAAAGGTTTGCTCAGTCCCCTTCACTGCAAAACACACGACTGGAAACCTCTTCCCCTGAGGGTCTGCTCTTGTCACCCTCCCCCTCGCCTCTTACCCCCCAGCTCTCCACACCAAAAACCTCACAAACAAATAAAAAAAAAATTAAGGTGAAGCATGGCCACCCAGTGCACGAGAACATTACACAGTACAGGCTCTCAACCCAAAGGTACAATGAGAGAGCAGCTTAAGATGGCATGGAGTTTCTAGAATTTGTTTTTCAGGTATCAGATACCTGATCCCCACAATGTAAAGGAAGGAAACAAATTACTTCAGTTTTTTGAGTATTGTGCTGTTCGACTGATTTAACAAAAACCAGCAATGTTTTGCCAATAACTGAAAAGTGATCTTCTCTGTGTTTACAAATGAAGTTGGAAAATTAAATATAGGAGAATGGGATAATTTCTGCACAATAGAGGTGAGGTAGGGAATTTTATTGAAAATATTTTTTTACAAGTTCTTAGAAATAAAAGTTGTTTCTCCTAATCTCACACAAACGGCTGTACCTCAAAAATTCAACTATCCTAATATGAAACATTTCCATTTACAGTTAGCCAAAGAATATACAGAACTGCCTTTTTATGCAAATACCGAAGTACCAGGTCACAGTGAGATACATGACTTCAGCACTTCCACCATTAGGGACAGATTAAGATTCCACATACGAAAGAATCTCACTATTCTACAAACCTCATCTCTCACAAAAAGGGAAGATTTTTTTAATAGTGTTGTAGCAAGGTCTCCACTACAGCGTCATTTTACAAATTACATAATGCATGTACTCAAATTCATAACAACAACAATAAAAAAATCTGTAATCAAAGTGATGAACAGAGCAATAGTGTTGTCTGTTAGCCTTTTATTGCATTTATTCAGTCATTCGCTTGTGAGGCTGATGCCGATCCCATTAATTTTCGCTCTTTTTGAACACCCCAGCCAGGCTGCAATTCACACAGTTCACAAACTGGCAGCGGGTTTCAGCGAGGGAAAGCTAGTGGCATCTCGTTGCACCTCCTCTCTCCCTCCCTCAGCCCCTACTATCACCACATCAACTTCAGTTTCAGACACGACGACACATACAGTATCACATATTTACAATTACATTGAAAACCAAAACCAATGAGTTTTATGGATGTCCTTTACAGAGAAACCAAAAATCACTGTTTGGATCTCAATGTAGCATAGCAACATTTTGTCCACAATATTTCACAATTTCCCAAACTTGAAATAGGAAATAATTCTTGTGAAACAGCACCTTAGGATGAAGGCCTATGCTCTTTTTCCAATTTATATTAGACAGGCACTAGTTACTATCCAGATACTTTAACTCCAAGTTATGACAGCAATTGTTA